GCAAAATTTAGAAAAACGGGAATTGCCAATGGATGAGAATATTCCTATGATAAAATGCTATAAAAGCCAAAACAGCAACCAAAGAGCTTACAGAAGAGATAAATAGAGTATACTGAAACAAAAGGACAGCTCAAAGTGGCTCTTACAGCTAGAATGGCTGGATAAAAGAGAAGATTGTTCGGCCTGTCTTTCCTCCAAAAATCCGCCATTTTACCACCATTTCGGGTGCGCGTTAATTAGAATCGCTTAAGTGCAAAAGGTCCATTGCATTCCATTGGTATCACGTGATGCAAAATGGCAGCTTTCTGATGACTGTATCACAAAACAGGCTTGTACTGCAGAAACTATAATGATTTATGACAATCCTTGACAGTTGTGAGAATCACTAGTGCATGGGAGAATATTTCTTCTTTGCTTATAGACATGAATATAAGAAGGAGAAAGAGATAGTGCATCTTAAACTTGATCCTGTTCTTTACTTCATCAGATAAATAGATCTTCATTAGTTTAAGATTTTAAAAATAACTGCAATCATCATAGTTTGTAGTGAAGCAATAAAATTCTCATTGGGTCTTTTCTGATGCTTTAAATTACTGCTAGAAGAGGTACTAGTGGCCACTTTGCATCACGTGATACCAATGGAATGCAATTGAACTTTGCAATTATTAATCAAAGGTCAACCCGCGTGTCATACCTAGTCCATAGGTAATAGAGTAAAGGCGGATTTACAATATTACGCTAGTCCTGACGTTACGTTGACGCTGGAATAGAATCTGGTTCTATTCCAGCGGAAAGCATGCGTCAAAAGGTCAAATCGCCCACGTTTTTGATTAAAAATTGACGGTACGCTGGCCTAATGTCATATTGTAAATCCGCCTTAAATGAAAGGGATTGGAAACGGGAGCGTAGGCTAGTTGATGTTGCTATTGGTTACCGGCCCAATACCTGGTTGATTTCCCATCTCCTCCATTAGTGAGGCTGTGCTGCAAGGACTTCGAAGGATATTTATGGAAATCCAAGAGGACGCTTACTTATGATATACCTACCGTTCCATATAGAAAGTTTAGGACTACCTGCAGCAAGGTTTTTACTAGTTCTACAACGCTATTTTGCAACGAGTTATAGGTACAACAAATTTTTTTCATTTTTCGCCCTTTTTCTGTTGTAACAAACTCATGCTTCATGGATTCTAACTCTAACTAGTATCATTCCATATGCAAATGAAAGCTCTTTCATATGATTATAAAGATCTTGTATCTTACTCTAGCTTGTTTTCAAAAAAGGGATTATAATGACAAAAAATACATTTTATGGTTTTAAAAGAGCCATAACATGAACATAGTAAAATTATCTATACAATAGAAAACAGAATTATTAAGAGGAAACATTAGGCTTCTAGTTGATGCATTAATTCCACTTGGATAGGAACACTTGTTCGCGAGATATTGTTTCTAAGAGAAAAAAAATCAAGGGTAAATTGTGACAAAAAATTTCAACGAGCCTCTGTCAGCCTAGCAGCAATTACAAATGAATGGAGGTTGGGCTACGCCCACGCTTCCGTTTCCAATCCCTGTCATTTTAATATCTATGATACAACAGGGATTGGAAACGGCCCGGTATCATGTGATCTTTTCCTTAACATTTCAATGAGACAACAAAAATTGTCAAAAAAACCTAGGCGTGTTACGGGTTAAAAAGAGATATCCAGGGATATTCTTCAGAAAAGTCTCGAGAAAGTCATCTGTCTAATGACTTTTTAAGATTTGAGTAGTCCCCGTTCTAGGAAAACTTTGGCTGCATAAAGCTCTCTTTCGAAGGTATTCTATAAACTGGTACTCTTTGCAATATATCCATTCTCGTATGATTTGATATCTTTTCTCCCTCTAGCTTCTACATTGATGACACAACAGCTGTTATGATGAGATGTCTAGATTGATGTGACTATTATCCAATGTACTGAGTGTTTTTAATCTTAATTTTCTCTTAAGCCGTGTTTTATTGAGGACATCAAGAATAGTTGGACCTATGGTGGAATTTCTCCCTCTGGCAACTTCACTATGACTAATAACGAAAATCTGTGACATTAGTATTGTTCCCTAGGAATCTCTCCAATGTAATGAGCTACAATGAAGTGACTATTTTTGTCCTGTGGATATTTGGAAGGCTGTTTCTGCAAGTGAAGAATACTGCCGTTTATTGATTATTTTTGATAAACTTGCTATGCATGCAACTTTTATTTGATTCCAACTATTAGTTTTTACATTGTAGAATAGTTATCAAGTGTCAGTGATACTGCAGCGTCAAGATATATGAAATAAATAGGGTTTGTAATTTTAACATCTATAGGGCGGCCATTTTGAATAAAATTATTAACCCGTAACGCGCATCAACCATTAATCATCCGGGTGTTTCCAATCCCTGTATACTGTATCTATGGTGAAATCAATTATAGGACGACCTGGCCGGGGCTACGCCCCGGCCCAGGTCGTAAAAATGTGACAGTACAGTACAGCCAGGCTGCACGTTTTTTAATGATATTCATTTCGCTCTATGAAATCATTAAAAATTCGTCAAATGACTGGAATTGCTATCAAGACTAGACTACGAAGTACGAACAAGATTCAGATACGGAAATAAGTTCGTTGGACTGGTTGGTCTCGTTCTGCAACAACAATACCAGTAAGCAATAATAGTAGCAGCTAGTATTGTTGTGTTTTAGGTTATATTTGGGGTCATTTTCCTCTGCTTTTTACTCAGGTTTTTACTCGGGTTTTTAGTGCTAGCAGCCACACCCACTGTGTGTAATTTTATAGTTTTGATTATGATTACATGTATTTTTAATTGGAATCTTAGTTTTCAAGGGTACTTTGTAGCATTGGTTTTTATTGTATTTAGTAGTTTTAGTCCCCCCTAACTAAACAAATTTATACCAATCAATATGACTCCTGCCAGTCATGAATTTAATGAAAAAACTCAAGTTTTGGGATATAATTAGAATTTTGGACTATGAATATCATTAATTCTGCTTGAATTTAGTAGTTTTTAGAAAGTGAAATTTGAAATTGTATTGATTAGATGTATTATACATGTACATGTAAAATTAGACCTTTTCCCTTATTTTACATGGATGCCTCTTTTATTTTTGTTTATTTTCTCTTCCCTGTCTCTCCAGGAAAGTATTGGTTGGTCGAATGGTTGCTGGGATTGGCGTAGGCTAAGTACTCACATTACATGTGTACATGTAATATTAATGTATTTAAAAAACCTTTTTCCCCTTATGTATGCATGTAGTATATTGAGTATGATTGTTCCTGTATATAATGCTGAGCTGGCACCAAAGACTTTAAGAGGAAGGCTAGTCTCACTGAACCAGCTCTTCATCACAGCCGGCATAATGGTAATAATAATAAATTAATAATTAAGAGTACATATAATGATAATTATACCTACAGTATACTCATTGGTAATAATAGTTAGATTTAGATTAGTAATGAGTTAATGACATACTCTAATGCCAAACACACTTTCCTAGTTGTGACACTTTACTATTCTTAACTTTATCAATGGTTCTTGAATATTTGTCCTTATTCTGTTCCTTTTAATTTATCCCCACCTCTCTCTCTCTCTCCCTCCCTCTCTCTCTACTCTCTCTCTCTCTCTCTCTTTCACTCTAGGTCAGTTTTTGTGTCAGTGTTGCTGTTCATACAGTTGATTTTGGTTGGCGGATAGCACTGGGTCTCCAGTGTGTGTTAGCTGTTGTACTTATCATTGGAATGATATTCTTACCAGAGACACCCAGGTACAATAAATAATAATAATAA